TTTTTCCCCCCCCCCCCCCCCCCCCCACTAGTATCCTCACTCTTTTTTTCCCAAAAATGGTTAAAATTTATCTCCCTGTGCCAGACAACTTTTTTCCACTCAGCTACTTCTGGTATTTTGGGTTGCTTAGTGGCACCATTCTTGAGATTGAATCCATCTGTTTGCTATCCGCTAAGGGTGCTCTGGGCTCCCAGCAGAATGTCAAGTGTGCCATGGGAAAAGAGCACGAGCATCGGTTAGGCTGAAACGAGGATCAGGATTTCTTTTCGTTCCCATTCCATGTGATGCTTGGTTTAAACCACATGGTAGAAAAATAAAAATAAAGCAGTGAAATGAATTTGAAAAAACAGTGACCACTACTAAAAAAACCCCCTAACTACAGCCCCTGCCAAACATTTAAATCGCAGGACTTATATTTTTCCAGTCATTTTCAAGGAATAATTTCTAATAGAGATGATGTTTTTATTGGCCGGGGTTCTCTTTTCTTTTCTTAACAAATAAAATAAAAATGAAATAATCTTGCGGGTGAATTTATTGTGCCTGGAAGCAAAGAGCTAATAGCACTGGCTGGAACCCAGGAAAGTGCCCAGGCATCATAGGGATAAATTGCCAGGCTATTTCTCATGGGTCCCAGCTTCCCCTGTACAGTGACTGAACACCAGGCTCATCTCTTCTGACCCAGCCATAATTCTTATCTGCTCGACATCCTTTTGCGACTGCCACTGAGCCAAAAACTTTGCTCCTGCCAGTGGTGTGGTGGCCAGGGAAGCATCACTGTCCCAGCGCTGGGGATGGCATGGACGGGGCTGAGTGGGACCCACTGCCGCGCTGCTGGCTGGGATGCAGTGGATGTCCGAGGCAATCCCCCGGCTAAGCTTTAGCATCCCCATGGATGAAAGACTAGAAATGTAACTCTGTTATTACTGGAAACTGCAAAAATACTACAAAATAGAGGGTTGTCGCTATCCATTCTCTGCAGACCCTGGATTATATCAGTCTGAAACAACAAAAGTACTGATGTTAAAAGTGGATGGAGTTAGTGTCTCATAAACAAGTAAAGTCTGTGATTATCTGCCCTCCAGGAACTGAGATATTTCTAAGAATACTGATCCTGCCCTGGCACTTGTTGATGACACTGGTAGTGTTTTAAGACCAGCCTAGCTGCTCATCAAGCCAGGCAACTCAACTCCAAACATAGATTGAGCTCTTTGGGTTTAATCTCACATGCTATTAACAAAAATTTGAATATTTTCTGTTGCCTGTCTTTTGAAAAAACCAAAAATATCGAAGTGGCAAGTGTACCAGAAGACAGCCTAAAAGGCTTACTTCAAATCTTCAGTATCAGACTCCTAAGGAAGAAGAACACAAGCTGGACTCAGATCAAAATTTCACCTAGACTTGGAGGCGTTTGGATCCCTGGGTCTCGGTTTAATAGGCATGTAAATCCTCAAATTCCCCTGGCTTCTGCTCTCAGCCCAGCTGAATCCCAGCTTGAGACTCCCACTATTTCAAGGGAGAGCTACGAAGGGCTTCATGGATTTAAATAACTTCAGAGCGAGCCTGATCCTTGCCCCAGCCTGAAACCTCGGCGGGGCTCCGAGCCGAGCACGTGCCAGTGTCCCTCTGCTCCTCCCTGTCCCAGTGAGGCCACGGAGCCACCGCGCTAAAAACCCTGGGGAAAAACTTTGTGTTGTGCTTTTGGGCTGCTCCGAAACCCTGGCAACAAAACCTCATTAGGAAAACAAAGCTCCGGAGGGTTTCATGGTCCCTTTTAGCCTCTCATTTCTTTTTTGTCTTGTTTCTAACTTCTAATGATGTCATTGTCAAATTTACAGACTTTTTATTTTTTTTTTAAAAAGAAAAATCCTGAAGAATTTGAGCTCAGAAAGAAACTTCAAAGACTCCTGTGTGTAAACATCCATCTGTTCCCTTGCATGTTCATCTGAGGTACTGGAACTGAAACCCTTCTGGGGGAGTTTGTTTTGCTGTCCCTAGATGTGCCGACATGATGGGCAGGATGTTCAGTGAGGACCGGCGGAGCTGTGTCATTCAAACGTGCTTTTAAAAAGAACAGGAAATGTGCTTTTTTAGCAAGGAACCTCTATGATTTCCATAGAATGCTGTTGCATTTTGAATTGAGTGGATTTTGGTTAAAAAATGATGAAAGCGCTATGAAATTAGTACCTTGCAAAGGATTGCTCAGCAGACGGCTGATTCCAGCAGGAAATTATTTCAACTTGTTGGTTCGTCTTTCAAATTGGATTTAGAAGACAAGCAGCTGAAGCCACTTGAAAATGGATTTAGGGGCCACTTGAACTTTCTATTGTGGATGAACCCAATTTTGTTCTACATGACAGCAAACCCTCTGTGGTATTTTACCAGCAACGGAGGCTGCTGTGCTTCTAATCCTGAACACAAAGAAATGGAAAGACCTTAAATAGCTGACAGGAGAAAAAGAACCCATCCAGGGCAAGGAAATTGTTCTTAGAACTGACCTTTCCCCTTTCTTTATAGGAACTTTGTTATTTACTTTGCACTAGGAGCAGAGAGTTACTTGCCTCAGAGTGTTCACAAAAACGTTAGAAAACAGCCCTGAAAGTGTGGCCCCCCCCAGGTATAAAATCTACTCCCTTGCCTTTTACTAACACTGATAATCATAATAAATGATCTCTAACTTGCCATTAAAAATGAAAATAAATGTAGTTGCTCCCAGCAGCAGGAGAGTAGACTACTACTGCAAGGCTTAGCATGCAGAGAACCAGCCGGCCAGCCCGGCAGCGTGGCTGCGGCATGGACGAAGGTGTTACTTACTTGGAACCCTGTTAATGGCTCGTAGTGGCCGAAGTACCCGGACGGTGCGGATCGCAGACAAGCTCACGTTGTGTCCGTCCAGGGAATACTCCATCATGCTGCGGGGGAAAGAGAAAAGGTGTCAGGATGTGGGATGCTTAGTTTCTGGACGTGAGTTGGGGCCGTCGCTGCCTGCGTGCTCTGGGATTCATGGACCAGGCTTCCAAAACCACCCACTCCGTGTTTGCAGCTCATAATGTGCATCACGCTGTCACTGGGGGATATAAGGGATATTTCAGCCTCTGAGAGACTGAAAATACCCATGTGAGCAGCGGTGGTGCAGGGGCCAGCAGGCAAACGTGGTCCCGGGCTAATGGGCTGCAAGCACAGGTAACACATCGGAAAGCAGGACTTGGCACGACAAGGAGTTGCGAAGTCGGGGCCACAGATATCGGGGCAGAGGGGGAGCCCATAACTATCTGCTCAGCTCTCGTAGCCGTGCTGCTCTCCTTTTCCATTAGCTTATCATGCTCCGGCCGGCGGCACAACCACAGCCTTCCTGGGGAGATTACTGCACAACTCCATGCAGCTCAAAGTCAATAAGATATGTCTGATATTATACCCCCTACTAGCAGCGTATTTTCACGCCAGCTTATCTCTTCCCCTATGACAAAAATGTGAATAAGCAAGCCGACAAATGACGTTAAAGTACTTTGGTTTCCGTTTTATTATTAAGAATAGGGAACATTTTCTTTTTCATGCTCCGTCTCCATTTCACATAAACATTTCTCTTCCAGGCTGGAAAGGACGTTAAGTCAAGTCAGTTTTCTTGCTCTTTTATAGCAATGAGTGGCAAATGTGTGTAGTGTTGTTTTTTTAATGGGGTTATGGCTAGTTAGCATGGCTGTAATTACAATTTATGAGTTTGACTACAGGGAAGCACTTGTAAATATGTCACAAATCTCTCACCACGCCTGTTCAAATAACATAACAGCATCAAAAGCAACCCTGTGAGTAAGCTGTTGGATCCCATGGAGAAAGAGCTTTTGTTTTGTTTTATTTTTTTTTAAATAAACAAACAGATATGGAAGGAGGAAGGCAAATACGAGCTGAATTGCTGCAATCAGGCGCTTCAGAAGCTTCAGTGGAAAGAGAGATTTTCAGCTGAAGCATCCTGCAGCCCGGATGGACCAAAATCATTACGTGCCATTAAGAAGCAACAGCCAAATGGACTGAAGCAACAGCTGAGTGGATTTCAGACAACAGCAGGACGAGGTTTGGTGTCGGGCCAGCCTTGCTCAGGCACATCACTGCCCGTGTGCCCATGCTCTGCTCTGCCGGGGCCTTACACTTCGTATTTGATGCCTTGCCCTGCTCTACAAAGTTTAATTGGGACTATCTAGATGTTCTGATGTTTGCTTCTCTTTTGTCTTTGTCCTGAAGCTGTTTGGCATAACCCTGCGATATCACCGGCATTGCACTGAGGCGACTTTGGCCTGTTAGCCTTAATTTGCCGTGCAGAGGCCCTAGTGATTTTGAGCTGTTTTTAGTGATAACCTTCCAGAGATTTTTTTTTTTTTTCCTGAAGTAGTTAGTGAGTCTTTATAAATCAAAACCACCTTAAAGCTCATACGTAGGAACTGAGCCGAACATGATGAATAACTTTAAAACTCAGCATGGCACAAAAACAGGTTTTAAATCTAATGTGTGTTCATTAAGCAGCCAGAGCAGAGCAGTGGGAAGCAGCCCGGAGCCGCACGAAGGACCACACAGTGGGAAAGCCATCGGAAATGCCCGTTCACACCTGCGTCGAGGGGCCTGGAGCCAGCACCAGGTGTCTGCTCTAAACAGACCTTGCAGGAATAGACAAAGCATTGTTTAAAGTCCCTGAAGTGAATACTGCCGAAGCCTGAATCTGTTCGCTGGCGTGGTCCCAATACAGCACGCTCACAATTTATCGGGTGGCTGAGTAAGTGGATTTTAGTGTAAATGATACAGTTTTTGAACTACTAATAGCATGTAAAAGGAGTATGAAATGCTCCAGTGGGAGCTGGTTTTGTACTCCAGAGAGCACATGCAACTATTAGCGTGTTAAAGGGCCAATTCCTGGGGCCTCACTTTTACTCGGCCCTTGGAGTTTCAATGGGGCTGATAAAAGATGAATAATCCAGGATTTGGCCTAGGAAACAGACTTTCTGACCCTGATACTTTGGACTTCTGTGATACTCCATTCAGGATTTGAAAGGAAGTCTCAGGGGGATCTATGCTGCCCAGCGAAGCCAACCTGAAACACTTGATGGATTCCAGACTGCACCTTCTACAAGTGGTGAAAACATCTGAAATGTTCATGAAAAAGTCAAAGGTTTCTTTGTCAAAGCCAAGCTTGGGGTCTTGTTCTCATGTCACACTTGTAAACCAAGAATACCCTGGAAATGCCTGATAGAAACCTGCTGGAGCTGGAAATTTTGCGTATGCAGGGACCGGCGGGCTGGGCGGACTGGCACTTCGTAGGCGATTCCCTACAGCCTCTGGGTACTGAAAAAAAGGGACGCACAAGCCTTTGCGATGTCTTCTACCATGAGCAGTTTCCAGTCCCTCAGCTGTCAAGTTAAAGATGTCCAAAGCATATCATATGAGCCTGCAACATCTCCAGGGACTGGATGCACAAGAAACCTTGCTGGTTTCAGCTCCTGCGGACAACATTTTTGATGCTCGGGAAATGCTTTCAACTTGGCTGCTGGACAGACTGAAAGGTTGTAAGCTCCATTTGGTCTGAAATTTTCCAGGGTACATTTCTCAGGCAAGCAAAACATGAAAGGGCTTTCAGTGCTGGAACAAACTTCAGAGACAAGTTGTTGCTCTAGGCAGAAGTTATGTATATTTTGTAGTTTCCCTGCTTACCTTCCGCTCTCTTTGGTATACTTGCTAGTAAGCCAAATCAGCGTATTTGAGGAGACTGAATGGGACAAAGCAGGCAGCAGTGCCTATCACTTTTTTCTCTTCTTATTACAAAAAGCCTCATAATAACTTCATCACATCTATCCGCTTGCTGGAAAAAACAGCTCTTGTTATTCCAGTAGCGTGCTCCCTGCTAAAACCACCTCCAGTTTTAGGAGCAGGCACTGGATCGAATGGTGGTGGTGGGAGAGGTGAAGAACCCCAGCCCATCGCACAGCTTCTCTTGCCCTCCACCAGTGTTACTGGCCAGCCCAGCTCCCAGCCCAGCGTCCCTTCTGAGAGGTGGGAAATAATGTCACAGCTATGGTTCGAAAACACCAAAATCATCTGGAGATGCCCCAGGATCAGCCAGAGAAGGGGCCGTTCCTCTTCTCATCTTCAGCCCGAGTAATGCCAGACTGGCAGCAGGGCTTCCCGTCGGGGTCTCCTGGTGCTTCTGCTGCTTTCATTCTTCTCAAACACATGCCAGCCATGGAGGGTGGGGAAATGCCCTGGAAAACTACCAAATTGACTCACCAGCCACCTTCCTCCTTGTCCCAGGTGCTACGTGAACAAAGATCCTGGTGCCAAATCTGACTCTGAGGTATGAGCAGAGGGCTCAGCCTTTCTACCCGCATGTGCTATTTTACTCTCCCACTTTGCTGGGATGATCTGTTTGATGATATGGGGACCTCTGCTTGCCCATCAGGAGAGCTCATCCTGCAGGTTCAGCGTCCGGAAACACTGTTGGCACGTTGGTTATGGATGGCAGATTTCTGATCCCGAGTTCCTCCTGCAACCACAGACTTGCTCTTCCCCTACTACTTCTGGCTTAAATGCTGCAGCAGCTTTGGAAAGAAAAAATAATTAACTGCTTCTTTTGTTGTCCCTGCTGTTCTTTCCCAGGCTGTAACTGCACAGGGGTTCAAAGGAAGCTCTGCTCAGGAGAGCTCATGTTTTATTCAAACCAGTAAGGCCGTTCCTAATTGTATTCCAGACAAATAACATGGAGCAAACCAAAACTCCATTAGTGCAGAGAAGACTGTACATCACTAATGTAACGGTAAAAATGCCCCAACATATTACAGGAATGTTCTAATTAACCCCAGGCTGGTCATTACAAACCCAGGAATTCAGAAATAAGACAGAGCTCTGTAATTAAAGCAGTCTATCCCTTTCTAGGGTATACTAAGCACGTAAGAGAGCCTGGGGTTTCTAAAATCCATTTATTTATAGAAAAGTTTTAGACTTGCCAAGCTTTTAATCCATTCCGTTTTACCCTATGGGTGTGGGGGAACTCATGTCAAAAGCACCCAGATCTTCCTTATATCTGTTTATTAACACATCCTGCACAAATAAGCAGCTGTGGGAGACGGTATTAAAATGTAAACCAAGAGAAGTTTACAGGAGGCATTTGCATGCACTTGTAATTTGACTCAACTTCTGGCCAGCTGCTTCCACTGCGACTTCAACCTTCTGAACCAGATTTTTGAGCTAGATTCTCCTTGTTTGACCAATTTCTGCCTCTCTGCTTCACTCTAATGTTGTCACATACCAGGAGCGGGGCTGAGCTTCTGTGTGCTTTTTCCACCCGTTCTGGAGACAGCAGTCTTAACCGCGAGCACTGGGCCATACTGGCCATCACAAGGACTAGATCAGCATGCACTTAATTTGACAGAGATGACACTGGTGAAAGGATTGCTACTGAAAACCCGATGGCTTTTGCCCTGACATTCATACCCCACCCCATAATCCGGCATGGTTGCCAGAGGTGAAACCAAATAAGACTTACGAGACTTTGCCTTGGCTTGAGCCTGGCAGCTTTCACAAGACATTATGAAAACCAGCCAGGACAACCTACAGATTTGGCTCTCTGGGGTTTTCTTGCTTTCACTGCAAACAGCAAATTTATGAGGCTTTGTTACTGACCCCGCCATCACGATGAAGAAGTCCAGGCGATTCCACGTATCTCCAAGGTAACACTTCTGCCCGAAGATCCCCAGAGCCACCATCTTGATGACCATCTCCACCGCAAAGAAAGCGAAAATGAAGTCGTCAAATGCCTGGAGACCAGTAAAAGATTATTACAGTCAGTTCTGCTGTGCTCTCTTATCAGGGAAAGGGAAAGCAGAGACACGAGCGTGACCGCCGCAGAAGCACTCCCTATACCCTGGCAGACACTGCAAGGCAAAGCCCTGGTACCAAAGTGCCACCTACTGAACTCAGAAATAAAATCTGCAGTACCTGATGGGTGATGGCAACCCCTGTCCACTGCCTGGGAAGCTTTAGCAGCTCCTATTAATCTACTGACAAAAATACAAGGACATCAGTGTTGTACAGGCTGGATATTTTTCTTGGCATTTAAAGCCTATGCATTCAACACCAGCTTGTGGTTGGGTCTGTGAGGTCTCAGCAACTTGCAGTGGAAGCTGCGTTTCCAGACTGGGCAGCTTATACCTCCTAGAAAGAATTTGTCCCATCTAACACAGGGGGATGTGCTTCACCTCTGATGCCTTCCTGGACTCCCAAAGGGACCAGGTTCCTACCCAGAGACCCAGACACAGCTGGGAGTGAATATGCCCATCAAGCAGAGGCTGAAGCAGTAACTATAAGGGCAGTTCTGCTGCACGTGAGGAAAGACTGGAGTGGTTCCTCGTGGTGCAGAGCCTCAAGGCACCCTGCTGGCAAGCCTCGGTGCCCAAGCGCAGGAGACTCCTGATGAAGGTAAAAATTTTGGGGTTTAGATTACTGTGAAAACAAGAAGAGAAATTAAAGGTGTGCAAATTAATCCAGTGCTGCCCTATAGAACATGCCTCAGCCTTTACTTAAAGAATGACTTCTGTAGGGTAGTGGGGACTTGGACAGCTGTGATTTCTCCAGCCTTCCTGGAGACTACAGGTACATCCGTGAAATGTGGTTGTACTTGAAGATACCATGAAATGGACTCTGTTGTAAATACTCTTCTACATGTTGCCTGTAAACGTGACCATCAGGAGATACAGGTTGCTTTTAAATCATGTGCAGAGGCTTTGTTGTTTTGAATGACAGACTTGATAAAGCACAGAAACGTCTCGATCTACAGACATGACTGCTGCTGTTCAAATCAGTCTCTTAATGACCATACTGTTGGTATTGTGTCTCTGGCACTTCCATATTGAGCCCTAATGGTAAATTCATGGTAAAATTAACAGAGCATCCACATGGAAGCCAAGTTCCCGCTGTGCATCCACGTACCTTTGCGTGGTTGTGTGCGAGCACCATCTTCTCTGGCTGTTGGCTTTATCAACCAACCTTTCCCTTGATAAACTACACAGAAGTTTTGCTCCATTATTTCAGTTCATTTAATAACTGGCATCTGAATGCCTCCATAAAGAAGCTCAGGCTTTTCTACCTTGTGTTCTGGCTTCCATTCCCTCTTGCAAGCTGTGACAGGGTGAGGGATAATGATGGCTTTACTTGCAGCCCTTTTCTGCCTGCAAACCCTTCAGGATAATACTTTGGTTGTTGCAAATATAGTCAATGTGTTGTAATCATTCAGCTGGTATTAGAAACCAAATTCAGCACCTGGGCTCCTCGCAGACTGTATACATGTCTGTTCTGGGGAGAACAGACCATGCAAAGCTGTGTGACTGCAACCTGAGTAAATTATGAAAAAAAGGAAGCAAATAATGAGCATTCAATAGTGTCACCTCCTCATCCAGGCAGGATTCCCTTTGTCTGCCTGGACATTTTGGCAGGCATCATCCAAACAAAGTCCCACGTGGGTGAATACGTGCAGAAAAACGGCAGGCATTTGGAGTGTAACATTTCAGGAGAGATCGGGCACTTTCTGATGGGCTCTCTGGGGGCAGCTTAGCCCACAGCTGCCTGCAGCGTGACATTTTCTGGTGAAGGAGGTGGACTAGCCACCTCTGGATGCCACTTCACACCAACCCTGAGCCTGACCCTCTGAGACGATCCCTATGCTGGATGCCTCTGGTGGCAACAGTTTCTCCAAAATTGATCTCATTCCATAACAAACCTCTAGTGGCCTCTCAATTCATCCAGTTTACTTGGCTCTGCATTTAACGGATCTTCTTCTAAGGTTGAAAGAAGGTTTGATGATAAACTCTGCTATTCCTGGCATTTGCAAGCAGTTCTTTGAAAGAGGCAGGAGGCACTGGTTGGAAGGATCCCACTGGCCTTCCCGTACGGCTGAAACACTCAAAGGGAAGTAAAGCAGCAGATCTGTGCGGGATTCGGACGAACCAAGCCTGATACACTACCACACGTCCGTAGTCCCTGCCTAGGTTGATGTAATGCATTAGAAACAAGGAAAGTTGGTTCCAAGCCTGAGAACTGAGTTGCTGCAGGAAGCCCAACGCCAAGGTGCAGCCCACGCACCAGATGCTGCCGGGATGTGCTTCCAAAACGAATCCTGTGGGCATATGGCAGCGAGGGGATTGCCAGGACGCAGCGAGGGATGAAGTGCCAAGCGTGATGCCCCACTAAGCTTGGGGTGGCCAACGAAGGTCTGCGAGCTTTGTACACGTGTGCATTTCCCAAAGGTCAGTTATCCTGGCACTTGGCAACGCTGCACTTCAGCTGGCGGGTTCTGCTGGTGGAGTAGAGCAGGTACGAGCCCGTCCCATGCTTTTTGTTCATGAAGAAGGGAATGAAAAGGCAAAGTCACCGGTGCCGTATTGCACAGACCAGACAGCAGCAATCCAAGAGTGACCTGCCTGGGGTGGAACTGACTGACTGCGAGCAAGAGGTTCCCCGCGGCATTGGCCATCCTGTAATTAAAAAGCGTTCAAATCTCCATCGGGAGCTGGATGCCCAGTTTTGAGCCCCCCCTACCCTTATTAAATGTGTAGAGAAAGAATCTTGCTGGGGTAAGTCCAAATCAGGCAGCCTTTGGGTCTCACCTAGGGCCATAGCAGCGGGTCTCCTCGGAGGACGGGCTCTGCTTTATTGGAAAAAACATCCCTACGGGAAGGGCTTTCATGGCTGGATCCTGGGGAAAAGGGACAAGATGGGGTTCCCAGCTCCCAGGACGACCACCCACCCTGCACCCCGCACATCCCAAGCAAGCGGGGCAGCATGGGATCCTTACCTCCAGGATGGTGCACCGCTCAGACTGGCACTCCACGTCCTCGCAGGGCTGGAACATGCCCAGGGTTACGCAGTTCAGGAGGATGACCAGCATGCTGATGTGCTCGAACCAGGTGAGAGGAGGGCGTTAAGGAGAGCACACGCTTCAGCGGCCATTGGGAGCGGGGAAGGTGAGGCACTGTGCTATTTACACGTAAAAAAACCCTTCACTCCTCGTACAAGCAAAGAAGAAAACACCTCCAAACATCCCAGATATTGCTAAGGCTTGAAGTGTTTGGCAACTGAGGAAAGGGCCTTGGAAAGGGTACTCCTGTTGAGATGAAGGGACAAAGGATGCCTTTCATTTCCTACACAGCAGCAAAGCCAGAAAAGTGCAACGAGGTGCACGGCTACGCTTTCCATCTCAAGTCCCCCCACTCCATCCTCTTCTGTTCTTCATGCGTGCCCAGGGGCAGCTGGGACCACAGCCGCCTCTGTCCTCCTCCCACAGCAACTTTCATCTCCAGATCTCAAAGAGTTTTAGCAGTGAATCACCCCACATGTCCTCCAGCATTAACTCTTTCACTACCAAGCTAAAGAAAGCAAGACAAAGAAAGATTAATTAATTTAGGCACCATCACCACCAGAAACCTGGCTTGTGCCCAGTTCCTTGCTCCAGCCAGTGAGGTTGCTCTCCTTGTTTCCATCTCGAGTCATGGGAATGGGTGTTGAATGCAGGTTATCTCATTCCTGCCTGGTTTCTAAGTCTCAGAGAGCTATGGAGTCCATTTTGAACTCTACGTCATGACCGAGGATGAAGGCAAAACCACAGCCAAGCTGGTGGCACAAGTTGGTAGGGCCACGGATGGTGGTATGTTGGGATACGGGATGTAAACCAGCACCCAGGGTGCACAGCACAGGCTTCGAAAAGGAAGGAAAGGGCTCAAGCTTGGATGTCTCCGTTGCCAGAAAAAAAAAGACCATATTCTCTTACAGGACCCACCAATGCTCAACTGCACTAACATTAATTGTTTCAAAGTAGTAAGTGGTGATTTGCATCAGTGCAAAATAGGCCCAGAGCTTATGATTACTGCTGCTGGTATGACTATTAAAAATAATAAAAAAAGATTTGGGGGAACTGAACAGGAGTTTCACACATTAAGCATGAATGAGAGAACTGTTCTTAGGAATAATAATTGGAAACATCTGTGTATGAATAAACCTTTACGCTTTCAAACACACAAGCGTATGTGAGCAAGGGATCACAGAGAAAGAAGCACACAGACATTGTCTTATTTCTGGTAACAACAATTCTCCTGCTTTGCAAACCTGAACAAAAAAAACCTACCATATTTATCCCTGCTGCTTTTAGAAGTATTTTACCTGGCATTTTATCAGTTCAGCGTAAGATTTATTGCAGCGTAAGATTTATTGCAGCATAAGATTAGGCAAGCGCAGGGCTGCAGTCTCAGACTACTTTTGCACACAGACTCTCATTTATCCAGATTAAAAGAAGAAAGAGAAATCAGTGGGGGCAGCCCCAGCAGCTTCCCTAAAACCTGAACCCAATCCACTTCTTGTTTTAGAGAAGGCTTTAATCTGAAAGTTCAGAGCTAGGAACACCTTGAAGCCCATGCTGGGGACCAACCACGTCAGACTTGGAAACCTACTTGTCTAAAATGGAAATGCATGAAAATGAAATAAAAACCCAGGTCACCCCATCAGTGATGCAGAAGGAGCTGGAGCAGGAGAAGCTGCTGGCCATAGCCCCAGAGGACTTGTGCATTGCTGAAATACCAATGTCAGTTTATTTTAATTTCTCCCTCTCTTCAATATCTTCTTTCTGATTTTTGACATCTTTAGGGGCTGTTTGGATCCCCTTCCCTCTTGCTTAATTAGAAACGGAGTGGTAATCCTGTTCCATAGAGAAAACAGCCCACATCAGACCCAAACAAAGCTCAACCTGTGGCCATATCCTACTTACAATATTTGCACTACTTGATGGGATTCATGTAGAACTCCCTGTAAACAGGGCTCCTGCGCTATTCCCAGGGTGCCTGCAGTTGCATTCATTTCACTTATTATACTTGCAGATATTTTTTTTTCCTTTAAAGTAAAAAAATAAAAGCATGTGGATTTTGAACTGTTAAAAAAGGTGTAACTATGGTGATGAACTAGGTCTCCTGCTTCCCGCAAAGGAGGGAAGAGCACTGGCCCTGTACCTGGTTGCTCCCACCTTGCTCCTCTGTCCTTCCCTGGGACACCGATCCTGGGCTTGTGCCGGCTCCATCCATCCCCTGCTGCTCCAGCAATGGGGAAGCAAGTGTACAACCCAGGCTTTTCCCCACCACAAGATGAGAAGGCTTTTGAATCCACCACCCACCAAGGGTTGCTGGTTGCATTACTGTTCTCCATCCGGCTCTCCACTGCCTCAGCCCTTGTTTCTAGCAGAACCGAACAAGAATTAGATTTTGTGTTCCACTAGAAAACACTGATTTGTCAAAAGTGAATCGTCTGCATGGACCAGTTTTGATGGCAACATTCAATTAAGACAGACTTTTTTGTATAAAACATGGAAGTGTCTGTCCCCAGCAAGGCAGAGGCACAGCCCGTTGCTGAAAGGAGTCCTCAAGAGTACAGGAAACTCTGATGGATGCCGGGGTCTTCCACACCCTGGGCTCTTCTGGCTTCTGGGCCACTGCCCTTTGCTGCTCAGATTACTGTTATTGTGATACAAAATCACAAACGTTTCAAAAAGAAAATTTTATGAGCAGAAAATCTGCCTGCGCTCTGTGTCTGGCATCTGCCCCTGGTTTTTGATTTCAGTGGAGCGACTGAAGCCTGAGGCTGAAGATGTTTGCAGGGTAAAGCCCCTGTTTTGCTGAGCTACCCCGGACCTTTGTTCAGGCACTCTGCTCATCAGATCTCTAAAAAACTTCTTTCTTTCTTGTAAATGACCTAATTGTGTTTTTTATGGTTAAATAATCACCTGCTTGAGAAGAATTCTCACTGGAGTTGACAGCCACTGCTGTCCCCTGTCCATCTAACACCAAAGCTGAATTCAGTGTCTTTCAGGACACCAGAAGAGTTATTTTAATTTTCTAACAAAAAAAAGAAAGGCTCTCCTTTAGCTTTGTGGTCACAGACGTTTAGAGGCTGTCAGCAAGGGTCAACAAGGGTCAGCCACAGCCGCAAGATGGGAAACGGCAACGCTGCTGCACATAGAAAGAAAAGAGACAAAAGAAAACTTGTGTTGCCTTTGAAGAAAAGGCTGAAAAGGTGGACGAAACCCCACTGTAGGGAACAGTTTTGCCGTCGCCAGAGAACAGACTGGAGGAGGGAGGAGGAAGCCCCTGCTCAGGGCTCAGATGTTTCCCAGGGATGCTCCTGTCCTCCCTCATCTCCGAACCCTTCCCGAGGGGATGAGGCTGGAGGGGTCTGAGCTGAAAGGTCCTGTGGCTCCCTCAAAGGCATTAAGCTCCTGCCCTATTTATTTTCACATCAGATTAATGACAGTGAAATCCCTAATTTGAAAGCGGGATTACCCCGAGTGCTCTGCCCTAATGGGACTAATCCTCCCTCCCTCCGGTGCACAGACATTCAAGGGAATTTCAGTTCACTCCCCCCTTCCTTACTCCTGGCTCTGGAAGAACCCCAGAAGCTGTGATTTAACCCCTGGCTGGTTGCTTTTCCAGAGCCCCCCCAAGCCATCCAGCCTTCAGCAGCCACGTGGAGATGCCCCAAAGAGAATCCCCGGGCAGCGGGAGGTGATGCTGCTTTGCAGGGTGGGATTATACAGGGCACCTTTTCAGAGCATCCTTCCCACAGAGCCTGGGCCAGTTTGAAATGCCCATCAAGAAAGAAAAGCCCTGTTCTGATAATGATGGGAAAACACCCAGAAGAGAAAAAAAGAGAGAAGAAAAAGTGAAAAAAGTCCAAGAGCAGCCCAACGCCAGGCTTGTGCCAGCACAAATAGCAAAGATGTGGCTGGAGACAGAAGTCCCACAGCACAGAATGGCCTCGTGGGTGACCCTGCAGCATTGCCGTACACCCTGCCTGGCGTTTTTGCAACCAGAAGGTCAAGGAAGATGAGGGATGGTAACGCCAAACTCAGCCTGGGTTCCTGCTCACCCCCCGAGTGGCACCAGCTCTCGCACTGCTGGAGCTGGGATGGGATTGACTTGGGATCCTCCTGGTCCTCCGGCAGCAGCGGTGGCTGCGACCCGCTAAAACCATGACTGTGCAAAAATGGGTATTTCTGAGTTACCATGGAAACTGCTGCTCTCCGGGCCACCAAAGCACCACCCAGTTTAAAAGCAGGCAACTTTGCAACTAGGAGATTTGAAAAGAAAAAGATGCAAAGGGGACATCTAGACTAACTGCTAGAGGCAAAGATAATGGCAAAAGATTTGCTTAATATTTCTTCCTCTGCCACAAATTCCACGGTAATGACATCTCAAGTGTATCTGGGCCAAGCTCAAATCCCCCGGATGCCCTGTGGGCAAGAGCTGGGGAAAAGCAGAGCCCTGCCTGCTTGGGGCAGGGGGCTGCTCCCCTCCACACAGCACCGCACTGCAGGATTGACACAGTCTCTTACATTAAAATCTAGCCCTGAGTTTAGAAGTCGCAACACAGAAACGAGGCTCTGCCCCAAAATGTTGTTCATCCCACCAGCTGTTAGTGCAATTGCTGATGCTGATGCTCTCCTGATGCTGATGCTCTCCGGCAGGTTTTGACAGTGTTTTACTGAAATCGCCTCCAGGGAAAGACCTGTGGCTTGAGGATGAAGAGCTCTGCTTGCCAGATGATGCCTCAGCATGGGCAAGACCTGCTTTTCCCACTGACCTCTGCCATGCCGGTTTAGCTGGTAAGGCCTTGACTTGATTTAAAAAGAGACATGGGAATTCAAGGGTGTGTTGAAGCAGCTGCTCAACACAACCTCGAGTATTTCCAGCAGTAAAACTGAATGGCAGGAGCCCAACACAGAGAGTTGAGGTTGGGTGGCCACTCATCAGGTCCACATCACCTAGCCACTGGTATCAGTGCCAGGGGATGTGTTTGAGGAGTAGGCAACCCAAAATAAAGGTGTGTAGGAGCTGTGTGTGTGTCCTGCCCAGAGGCAGAACTCCC